ATCATGCTGCAATCCGTGTCGCCACCGGAGCATTCCGCACCTCGCCCAGCAGCAGCCTTCTTGCTGAGGCGCACGAGCCGCCTCTATCCCTACGCCGCCAGATGCTTGGGATGCGCTATGCGCTGAAACTGCGTCAGTTCCCGACGCATCCGACGTATCCGTACGTCTTCTCCACCTACTACACTCGACTTGACAGAGCGCGACAATCGCTCTGCTTTGGAGCGCGCATGAGAGGTCTCTTCTCCGCAGCCAACATAGGTTTACGTGTCGTACGACGTAGCTGGGGTACGTCCTCTCCGCCTTGGAAACACGCAAAACCTCAAGTAGATCTCTCACTCTCCGAAGTTAAGAAGGATGACTTGCTGCCTTGTGAGGCGCGAGTCAGGGCCTTGCAACACATCGTCTCGTACGATGGTTTTAACACCGTTTTTACAGACGGATCAAAAACACCTGAGGGAGTGGGATGTGCTTTTATCGCAGGTCGCGATACCCGCTCATTCTCTCTACCTTCTTTTGCCTCGGTGTTTTCATCTGAGCTAGTCGCCATCGAGAAGGCTCTGTGTTTTATCGAGGTGTCGGACGGCCTTTCTTACTTGATTTTATCGGACTCCCTAAGTAGCCTTTTGGCGTTACGGAGTTTTAATCCAGTTGACCCGATCGTTCAAGACATTTTAGCTCGACTTCAGTCAGTGGAACAATCGGGAAAATTTGTTCAGTTCTGCTGGATTCCCAGCCACGTCGGCATACACGGCAACGAGCTGGCAGATGCGGCCGCGAGGCGCGCGGCCGCAGCCTCCTGCACTCGACGTCTGCCATTGCCGGCGCGTGACCTTTATTCGGCTGTGCGATCTTTCATTCTCTCTGAGTGGCAGGCAGAGTGGAGCCTACGTGGAGGCGGAAAGCTCCGTGAGGTGAAGCCGACTTTGGAGCCATGGAGGTCTTGCTTGCAAGACAACCGGTCCAACGAGGTGATCTTGTGCAGGCTCCGAATCGGCCATACATATGCCACGCATGGCCACCTCCTCCGCGGAGACGAGCAGGCCATTTGCAACGGTTGTTCCGCGCCTCTTACCGTCGCTCACGTGCTCTTATCTTGTCCACTTTTAGAACCAGACCGGACACGCTACCTCGGCCGCATCGCTCCGGGTACCACTGTCCGCCACCTGCTGGGTGACGAGTCACCCTGGGTTTTATCTGGCAACATCTTTTCCTTTATCCGTGCAGTCAAATTCCAAGCGATTTACTCGACCTGACCCAAATCCTCTCTAGTCTCCTCGTCTAGTCAGTTGTCTATTACGACGCTCTTGCGTTGTTTTATTTTACCCTGTTTTTTTTTTATAGTCTTTTACTTTCTAGTATTGATATCTAGAAAGTTTCTTCTTTTGAAACACTTGTTTTACTAGCGCGACGTTATGGGCGCAAAATGACCTTTGCAGTCGACGCGCCCTAAAGCCCCAATAAACAAACAAACAACAAATCAGTGGATACACGCTGGTGTCGTAGGGTGACCGGTTCGAGAAGCCCGGTTTGGACCGTCCCAGGCGCGCGACTTATTTGTTCCTAGTTGGAACGGTTTGCTTTTGGTGGCTGCGACTACAGATTAGAGGAACACTAAGAGTTGCTTAACCCTTTTAGTGGCAGGGGGGTTGTTTTTATCCACCCCTCAGGTTTTTCGGGAATATCTCCGAAACCGCTGAAGCTACGATGCTGAAATTTTCTGACTTTTCCTAAAACTAAATTGGGCACATTCCCTGAAAATTTCAAGTTCATAACTTTACCAGGGGCGGCTCCAGAGCACTGGGAATTGGGGGTCCTATTCGTGAAGCGAGTCATTTGGGCGAAGATCACGATGCTGCACCAGTTTTACGAACAGTGAATGAAAGGTATCATGTGATAACATATACAAAGTTATTGTGCATCCTCTTTTGACACGTTTTTGCTATAATAGGCGGATCCAGGCGTCCAAAAAAGGGGGTTATTTTTTACCTCCCAACATAGGTGCCCTGACACCGCCTATGCATGACCAATACAATTTTAGTCGTTCTCTCATAAGAAAATTGTAACATAACAAGACCATTGCCACCCTTTTTAGAAACAGTACCAACAAAAACCTTATTTACTATACTTTTTGTGTACCCCCAATCTCAATGATCTGTATCCGCCTATGATTTTTGAGAATGCAAATGCATATTTTTAGGATCCATGTGAATTCCTGGTTCATTCTCTATCGATCGGCAAAAGTTGCGTTAAGATTGGTTCAGAAACCTGGCCGTGATAAACAGTCTAAAATGTATCTGCAATTTGCCCGTTTTTACCCCCCTCTACCCCCCTATTGACATTTTTAATTTTTTTTTTTAGAAATGTAGATCACGTTCAGCGGAATCGAATGCCGTTTGAATTTTGAAAATCGGCCGGTTAGATCTCGAGATATCAAGGGGGGGGGGGTCGTAAACAGCCCCCCCCCTGCCACTAATATGGGGTAGCCAGGAGCCTGCCACTAATAGGGTTAAAGTTGGGACGCCGCGCTATCCAAAAACCCCAGTCTCTGGACGATTGCTGTGCGAAATAATAGACACCAATGAGCTCAATCAAGGCCTTAATACTTATCTGTTATAAACAATGTAGCTCCGCAACTCGATGCACGTATGATATAAATTCTACCGGCTGTCCCAATGCCAGGTAGAGCAATGTTAGGTAGAATAATTGGTGCCTTGGGACGCGAAAGTTAACTACACTCTCGCAGCCGCGCGATGGTCCGTGCTCCCACCCCACCTCACTCCCCAGTCCTCGCCAGCCGCCGCGCTGCGCCGACCCGAGCCATGCCTCCGGGCTCGGCCCTCACCGCTGCGCTGACGTCACAGGCGGCCCACATCGCCTTCCAGCCACCGACCCAGACCGGTGGCATACGGTATGGATAGGCTGTGCCGCTTGACAAGTAAGTGAAGCGGCACAGTCTACCGGTACCAGGCGGCTGCTGCCAATGCTGAGCCATAGGAACCCGGTGGATAAAGAGTTGTAGAACATCAATCTGCCCCCGAGTGTACCACGCCTTGAAAATTATGCACTCATAATTAGTTAATTATTCACATAGTGCGGGATAGGCTCAGTTAACTTCGATGCGCTATCGGAAAGCCTATTAGGTAAGCAAATGATTGCCGACTGGCCGCTGAAAACACTCATCTACCGGACGGCCGTGACGATGCATATTCACATTTCCCCGCCATTCGCCCCGCCCGCCCGCACACCCCCGGGGCTGTGGACTTTGACAGGGGAGCTGCGCGCGCGGCCAATTCAGCTAATTTGGTTAGCGGCCCGGCTGTGGCCGAATTTGATTTGTGTCACCCACAGTGAGAGAGGCGTGCCGCTGCGGGCCTTATTAGCCGGCCGAGAACGCAGACTACCGCAACGATAAATCGGGCCGAGCCGAAATGGTGAACTGTGGCTATTAGCTGCCGAATTGTGAAATACGGGCGGTCACCGTCATAGACGGATGGTCGGTGCTCCTCACTTGTTCCCAACTGCTCGCAGACGAGGCGTAATTTGATTTCCATTATATATAGAGTATTAGCTGTGACTGAAAATGGTCTTATTCACGCAGTGATGTTCGGAGGAAGAGACGTCTCATCGAGTCATCGCTATCTGTTGGCTTTGCGATCCGTGCAAAAGCCTCGGCGCTTAGACTGATGACGGTTAGGGGCGGTGCGATTGCGAGATTATATAGCTGCTTTTGGGGGCGCGAGGGACAAAGCTCCCAAATTAGCCCTCCAAACTGCTGGGTAACACAACTTCAGACTTGACAAAATGTTGAAGGTGTGTTCGTTTAAATCATTTTCATAAATGTATAAAGGCACATGCGAATATTTTTTTGTGATAATGTAAAATATTCTCGTACTTTTCCTTTTTTATACTTTTCGGTCGACGACCCTGGGTAGATGAACTGCTTTGTTACATTCGCATTGCTCGATACGCTTACGGAGTTCGACAATAAAGAGCGTAAACAACATAATTGAAGACATGTTTTGAATCTCTCAGCTGCGCCCGAAAAATGCTGAAAGCATTAAATCGCCGAGTGCTGTTCGCCTATCAGCGACAAAAACAGCTCCAGAAAGGCCGCTTTCTTCGGACTTTGCAGCATGGCGCCGTGGGACTTTCTGAGATAATGAGCGTTTCTCCGGTGTCTGTGGGCTTAATTCAAGTCCATCAATTTATATTTCCTTTGCCTTTGGCGATATCGGTTCCTTTGAGAGTCGATTGGTGCAGCGAGCGGCCTTAAAGCGCCAATCACTCGCCATTGGAGATTGCCTGTCCCGGGGGAAGCAGGCATTTGCTGCTTTAATGACTGCCGAGGTGGAGACGGTGATTGAAAAGCAGTTCTGGGAAGAGAACCTTCGGTCGTGAACCGTTGGCACTAGCGCCCAAAGAGCTCGCATTGAAATTGTAAAGCGTTTCAGGAAATGGTGGAGATAAAACACAATGGGTGGGCGAAAACGAAATAAATGAAAAGTCGGCAGAGGACTGAAGCGGTTTGATGTGAAACACTTGCGTTACAGTAGGTACTTCCTTTAGGTCTCTATTTGCCATTAAGTCCAAACTAATCGGTGATGGGAGCTCCTCGCCAAACGTTCACCAGCAGTAAAGGAGAGCAAAATACTTTCAATGGCTGGCAAATATATCGCTCACATCACCTGTACAGTGTACATACTAGCTGTGGGCTTCACGTTCACAGTCTACTGACAACATCGACTGACGATCAAGGCGACCCGCCGTCCGCCACTGCGACCGCCGCAGCTCCCCGATCACTAACCGCTGCCCGTTCCTGTCTGCAGCCGCGGCTCCCCGATCACTAACCGCTGCCCGTTCCTGTCTGCAGCCGCGGCTCCCCGATCACTAACCGCTGCCCGTCCCGATCACTAACCGCGGCCCGTCCTGACCAGTAGCCGCTGCCCGTCCCTGTCTGCAGCCGCTGCCCCCGATCGGTAACAGCTCCCGGTCCATTCCAGGAGCGCTGTATCCGCGCCGGCACGCTGACCGTCAACTATCAGAAGGTGGACGTGGATCACCGGCTGCGGCACAACGACCTGCTGGCCAACGTGGTGCACCGGTGAGTGGTGTGACCGGTCACCAGCCCCACCCCCCCCACCCCCGGCCCCCAGAGAGACCGCCGGCGGCACCACTGGGCACTGGAGACGACCGCTGCTGGCTGGGCGGGGGCACAGCGCGGCGCAGGGCGAAATCTTCCGTCCTATAAAAGGCAGTTCGGGTCTCTACCTTTAATGGGATTGTGATAATCAAAGAAGGGTATCATAATAAACTCTGACGATAAAGCTAGTACCTATCTTCAGGCAAACTCGAGGTTTTCTAGCATAAAGCTAGTATCTATCTTCAAGCAAAGCTCGATATTTTCTAGCATACCTACCTAATCTCATCAAGACGAACACGTGTTATCTTGTGACGAATACGCTGGCGATGGCCAGCCTCTGGGGCTGTACCCGGTGCCAGAGCACCTCGGGCTGCTTTCTGTACCGGCTATACGGCTGACATGTATCGCTGTCTGGGGGCTCCTCTCTGCACCCCGGCTCCGCTTTTGCACCACGGCTCAGCGGCGTCAGCTCCCCGTTGCACCACGACGCCGCCGGTGTCGACAGCTCGGTCCGGTGTACCTGTCGGCGGGAAGTGACGGGAGCATGGCTGGACGGCTGGCGGCTGGCGGCTGATAGGCTGACGGCTGACGGCTAACCCGTGTCCAGTCGGCGCCGGCCGCCGGCCCGCAGACGACCCGTCGACAGCTCCCCCTGTCCCCGTACCCCTGCCCCGGTCACGGCACACTGCCCCCGGACAGCTCTGCTTTGTAGCTCCAACTCTCAGAAGTTCACCGGCCTCAAAGTCGCGCAGTTACAGTTCTGCCGGCTGTTTGGACAAAGGTCATACAAAGATCTGTATGATGCAAGGAGACAAGTATCTGTGATCTCTGATCAGTGGTCGTGATTGTTTGGTCAGCACCACCAAAGTGTCAATCACGGGTCTCCTATGGTATTCTTGCTTGAAACAGCTCACGTTCTTTAGCACCCTCGTCACTAATTCGCTAGTAAGTCATTTTTGTTTATCCGCACTTCTTGGTTTAGGACGTCCTTACTGATTCTGTCATGTGTCGGTGTTTGTTAGTCAGACTTTGGTCTTACCAAAGCCGCGCCTGTTCGATTACAGGCCCAGTTTCATCATGCCGTCAATATCAGCTGCGTATCCGGGCTCTCTCAAATGGCAGCACGCTCAGTTTTGGTGCGGCTGTTATCCATTCCGGACTCGGCGCCCTCGTCGTGCGGACGTTACAGCGGAAATGTCGTCATTTCTGGTGGCCATCTGCTGTGCCGTTTGCGGCCGTCGAGCAGTGTTTTTATTGCGCCTGGACGCCCGTCTCCTGATGATAATGGATAGCACACCCGTCGACACTTGTCCAATTAACGGCTGAAACGCTCGGCGGTATAGCGATGGCCCCACAGCGCTGCAGTTTTCTCTGGTCACAAGGGTCTAGAGAGAAATGTCAAATTTTGCTCAGATAATGATAGTTATGCAGTACAGGTGTAAAGACCATCATCAAATTGAATAAAAAGGAGCGTTTTTTTCACTCACAAATGGAAGTTGATAGGTACAATAAGTATCTTTCAGTTTTTAGTTCCGCCTTATGGTATGCTTCCTGCTATTTTACAAAGAATTGCATTTCTCGGCGGCTCATGACATTGCTATGTACTTTTTGTCCGGCGTGTTGAATGGTTGGCCTATGAGTACGAACCTAGGCGGCGACTAAGTAAAAATTGCTTCGAGGAGTCACGGATACACCACTCGACCGCTTTCAATTTCGGCAAGCTAAGCTGTGCGACCCTCGTGGTCGTTAGACGGCTCCCTGCGTCAATGTGCTGGAAGGCAGGGCTGTGGAAAAGTTCGGTGAAAGAATGTAGAAAGATTTGATAGCCCTTTACCTTTTATTATCGATAGATATTCATTGCTGCTTTAACTCATTAACGACGATAATTCCGTGGGCAAATTTCGGCAGTTTTTCTTGATGCCCTGTGCTTCTACATGCACTAGAAATGCACATACGGTGTATTGAAAAATAAAAATATTTTTAACATATATTTCTGGACTGGCAACTATAGTTGCCACTCGGCGTTGGCGTAGTCAAAAATTGCCGCTATCGTAACTTTTCATTAAACAAATACTAATCGCCGGGATGCATTGAATCTATTTATGTCCCAACTTATCCCCCACGAGCCTTAATCCAATTTCCAAACAGAAAAAAGTGGTTACGCCACTTCAATATAAATTTTTAATAAGATAATTACGTCTAAGTAGTGGAATCTACACTATGCCCTATGGTATAAGCCTGTAGCCTGTGCCCAAAGCAGCTGCAGTCCTTGGTATCCAGGAAACACAGTTCATTTATCCATCAATAAGTGTTTTTCTGTACCAAAGCAGATGCTCTTTACCAGTCCTTTTTAACCATTTATCTTGACATGCATAAATAAAATCTGCTCGAAAACAATTCAACAAAGAATGCATATTATCTCATACGTAGTTCTCACCAGATCCCTATTTACTCGTACATGGTTGATGGCAGGTATACCGTCCTATCACAAAACTTTCTACCGTGTATGATACATTTGTAAAAACTCGGGGTACAAAGCAACTCGATTATTCATGCCTATTTGCGAGCACGCTGATTACAGGCCTACCGGAGCCATGGAATTGTATAGTATATTTCTGATTCCCGCATACGTACGTACTTCTGCTGTCCTTACCTAACCAGTAAATCCGTTCGCCTTCGAATGTTTTTTAGACTGTTCGGACGAGAGTCTGGACAAATTGGATCCCTTTCGTGATCACGACTCGAGCACACACTGGCGGTTGTACTTCAGAATAAGAAGGGGGATATGTTGATTGACGAGTAAAAGTGGTGTAAGTACAAGGCGACCACCACTACTTGCACTTGAACACATTCCACGTGTCATAAAAATATAGTTCAATTTCATCTAGTTTAGGACAACTGAACAGGCCCACATATTTTCTACCACCTGAATCCCCATTTCCTCGTTTCCAGCTGGCAGTGCCAGGAATCAGCACTGCCCCAAGTCAGGCGATGTCTCGCCTTTGGTTCACAATTTTCATTCAGTCCCATGAGACAACATCAGCTACGTGATCGTAACCTAAAGTTTCGTGTGCTGTTATCCTCGCACGAAACCCAAAGCACAAAGCCGCCTCCACCGTCTCATTCAGCTGAATCACCAGCATCTGCTGTGAAAGTTCAGATAGCAAGCAGCTTCATCGGAATCAATTCGGTATCACGACTGTGTCAAGGTCATAATCGGCGTCAATGGGAGCTCAGCGGAGGAGGTGGGGGAGCTTTCGTTTATGGGTCCCTGTTTGTAAACGTCATACAGCGTCTTTACGATGCTAAAAACTTAATTTGTTGATGCAAATAGGCTTAATACCTACGTGCCCCTCCAAATTGAAACACGAGCTGGTCACACGATTTAGCATCATGGCACGGTGCCTGCAGATGAGCATGCCTGAGTTTGGTTATGCATACTGCAAGTGGCGCGACTAACGAACGCTAGGAAAAACCAGCAAAGCATAGTCTTCGACATAGAAAGCGAGAGCGACTCTGGTTTATCCAGAAAGGTGATAGGTGATATCACACGCAGCAGGGTTTGAAAATTCTCGTACCTAAACTTCTCGGATTTCGGTTTGCTATAAATGCATTACTGTGCAATCGTAGGCAATCTTTATCGTATAAATGCCGTTTTAGTTCTCTTTCTTTACAAAGAAAACGAAACAAAATCGGGCAAGTCGGACTCTGTGAGCTATGAATGTCCGTAATGTTTCCTGCATCCGCCAGTGGAGGAACAGGGAAAGAGAGCGAGAGAGAGAGAGAGAGAGAGAGAGAGAGAGAGAGAGAGAGAGAGAGAGAGAGAGAGAGAGAGAGAGAGAGAGAGAGAGAGAGAGAGAGAGAGAGAGAGAGAGGAAAGAGAAAGCGAGATTGCATCCCATTCCACAAAAATATCTTCAGTAGATGATAAACATAAAAAGATTTAACAATGTCGAGAATAGACCAAGAAAACAATGGAGGGGGGTAGGGTTCACTATGGTAATGTATAGACATGCATGTATTTTTTAATTAATTTCTGCCTTAATTGTTAATTTATTTGCAAAAGTCCATGTAACTATGTCCCAAGGTATACACGGGGACAGTCTGGTTGAATAACATATGTTTCGTTACAGTATATCCGTAAATACAACTATTTAACTATGAACCGCTCATATTTTTGACTACGCCAACACCGAGTGGCAACTATAGTTGCCAAGTACAAATCTAGTACAAATAACTACAAATGAGTAGAGTGCTTTCAAGTTTTGAGACACTGGTAGCCTGCCTACATCCTTTCTGGATCAAAATAAGCCGAAAATGCTCGGAAATACCGGACACTCTGGAAAAACAGCGTCGTTTTCTTCGGGACCGTCAAGCCAATATGGCGGCCGTCTCTGCAACGTCTGACTATTTCTTGATTTGTGAAGCATGTTGCGCACAGGACGTGACTAAAACCGTCTGATCATGATGAGAAGGGACTATGCTGATTAGGCATCCCACAAATGCTGTTCTGACGTCATTAACTTGCCTTCAGCAGTAGGTTTTTGTAGATGGCAACTATAGTTGCCACTCGGCGTTAATGAGTTAACACCCCCGTGCCTCTGAGATATGACAAACCGCAATCAAATATTTATCGGTCGATTCAGGTCTGGAAGATTTGGCATTTTATTACTATGAAAGGTCAATTGGCAATTCACTTTTACTATGCCCAGAGCGATATAGTTAGTTTCATTTTATGCCAACGATCTCCAGGTTACCGGGTAAGCTAGAAATTTCACAGAAACCTCTAAATCTCATCACCACATGACGCGCGCAGCTTCTGACGGTAATATATTGTAACAGCAATGCGGCCTGACGGAAAACTTGTCACATTTGCATATCAGCCGCTTGCAACTCATGGCAGCCATCAGGCCAGTCTGGCGCGGACAGCCAATTTCAGCTCCATTCTGATCCATTATGAACAGCGCCACTGGGAAAATATGACGCTGTAATACTGCCCCCAGTCAGTTTGTTCACTCGTAAATCCCGGATACATTGTTGAGGTTTTCAATGGCAGACGCTGTGGTGTCTTGTTTATTGCGTCCCAATTAGTTACACATTCGAAGTCATTGAATCCAACGTTAAATGAAAAATTACCTCGGGCGTGATTGAATCCGTTACCTGGGGCAAAATTGTTTCGGGGTTATAATTAAGCAAGGACAGACTGAGAAATAAGGTCGCTGCAGGTTTTCCGCACACACATATATCGGAGCGTTTGTGATAAGTGCTGCCGGTGAGCGGATTTTTAGCGCACTAAACCGTTGCTGCCGAGCGCAGGCCCAATTGTCGGTGACCTTTCGCACCACTGCGTCTGTAGAGTGGGGTGTGTGCTGCCCACTCGGCGGACAATTTGATCTGTTCTGATTGGAGCACTGGCACTACTCTAAGGACGCCCGCGGATTGAACGCTCAACGAGTTCCCGGAAAATGGAACAATTAATACCGGTGGGGCAGGTACTACTGTAAAATATCTGCTGTAGCTTCAAGCCGCAAATGAGTTATCGTTTCTACTCTTAAATTACTTCATAATACCACTCACTTCATAAATCAGGCTCATTCCGGGGTAGTTCCCCGTTGCAACGTGCACGCTTCTCTAGCAATGCCTCAGCAGTCACCTGTCCTGTCAAAGCTATGTGTGATTTGTGTCTTACTTAGCCTTCTGAAGACTCGCTAAATCTGGCATCCTGATGCTTTCCAGCATCGTGATGTGGTGTTTTTTATCGTTCCCTCGTTTCTTGCCCCCTCGAGCTATTAGTAGCTCACCGAAACATCGTCCTGGCGTGCTCAGGTAGGCAGCTAAGATTGACTTCAATGTATGTAAGGAAGCTGACGAGAGAAGTGTGCTGTTAAACATCGTTGAAACTCGTAAGCATCATAAACCCCGCTCTCTGAGTTCGGTATGAAACACTCCACCCACGCCGTTCGCCTGTGGGTTCTAACTTTGATCGTCCAGCGGCCGTGACCTTCCTAAATCAGTGCGCGGCCCGTCGGCCGGTGGCCGGTGTCGGGTCCCGCGGTCGTCACTCATGGCCAGCGGAGTGATACTGATGGCTCCCACTGTAACTCTGCCGGCTGATAAGGGCACCATCGGCTCAGCCTCAGCAGAGGAGGACCGGCAAATGTCCCCTGACGCCGGCAATTTTATAAAGTGGCCGACGCGTGCTGGGTTCGGATACTACCAGAGGTTTCGGCGGACTCCACTGTGGCCACGCTGATCGGTTTATTTGAGAATGACTTTTAGCACTGCGTGTTTGATCCCACAACCGTTCGACGGAACGGAGTGTTCAGGTGATGATCCGTGGAATTTGACCTCGATAGCTTTTGAAGACTTTATAAGAAGAATGCACTAAGATCTTATGGGAAGAGATCACTTTAATTTCACTACTCTATGTTTCGTCTTTTATAGGGGCATTTCTTAAGATTTTTATCAACTGCCTTGCCCTTTTTCTGGAGATCTGATGGTCATGCGTGGAAGAAGGCGTTTGTTGACTGTCGCCCATGCCGTTTGCAAGTCTGTAATCACGGTTAGCGTCTCCAGTCCCCGGTGGTGCCCCCCCCCCATCCCCCGCTGACCCCGGGGTCACGACCCGACCCCGAGCTGTGCAGTGTGCATGGCACATGTTGCGTCACGTTACGTGCTGGCGGCCGTGGGCGCGCACCAGCCATCCCCGTCCAATAGCCGATTTTTGTGGTAGCGCGTCGCCCCGGCTCGGTGACGGCCGCCCCTAGTGCGTCGCGTGTGTGTCCCGATCGGACCCGGTACCGTCCGCCGCCCCGCCGCCCCGCCGCCGCCGCCCCCGGGCCGGCCGCCGCCGCCCCCGCCCACCGCGGACTCATGACTCCGCTGCACACTGTTGCAGACACGAGGTGCCGATCACGGCCGATCCCGTGCCTCTCGTTCACATGGACGACGATATCGTTGTTGTCGACAAGCCCTCCTCCATACCGGTGAGTGGCCGCGAGTGTCTGTGTGCGCGTGTGAGGGAGAGTTCACAGGTGCAGCGGTGGAGGTCCGGACTCGGCGGCGGCTCACAGGTCAGTCAGCATGTGCACGGGCCAGCACGCCGGGCCGCTCTCTCTCCACCACTAACGCTGCCCCAGCACGCCAGCAGCGCGGTGTGGCCCACCCCGCCTCTCAGCCCCCAGTCGACAGGCGCTGTCTCTGCTCTGTCCTCCGTCTGTACTTCCCAGATGGTCATCTGTACGACTATCCTCCGCAGTCCTGGATGGTGTTTCACCATCCTTACCCACTCGTCCCGTCTTATCCGTCACGTTCTTGCTGTTCAGAGTTTCTTCTCTATTTATTGTCGCTTTATTGCGTTGTTTCCTGCTGGTGTTTTCCAGCCTTCCTACTTAAATTTCCTTCTGTCTCCTTTTTTGCATTTTTATCTACTTTCCCTCTTTCCTCAGTTCGTCCATTCTACCTTTCTCTCTTTAATATCTTTTTGTTCACTCTGTTTTATTTTACTTTCTCTCTTGCTAACTCTTTCTCACTCTATTTTCCCCTTTTCTCTCCCTAGCTCAGAGACCTCTCCTTCCCTCCCCTCCCCTCTCGCCCTCCTCCTTCCCTCGACCACCCAGCTCACCCTCCCTTTCTCTCTGTCTCTTTCTCCTCTGGTGTTCGGATTGAAGTGAGCGCCCGTGTGCCGGGCCGGCCGTGACGCCGCGGGCCGCCGTGACGCCGCTGGCACCGTGACGCCAGAGAGCCCCCTGACACTGTGTTCCAGGCACGAGACACCCGTGCTCTCGCGGCCCATGGAGATAATCCACTTGTCCGATGAGCTGGTGGTGCTGGATAAGCCCTGTTCACTACCGGTGAGTACAGGCCGCGCACAGTCCCGGTACTCACCGCCCCGACCCTGTCCGTAACACTGACACCGGTACTGAGCACCGGCTGCCACCCCGTCCGTCACTCCGGTCACAACACCGCGAGAAACTGGTCCGAACACCGGGAGAAACTGGTCCGAACGCCGGGAGAAACCGGACTGAACGCCGGGAGGAACCGGACTGAACGCCGGCCGTGGGAAACCGGCACAAACACCGAGAGAAACCGGACGGAACACCGGGCCGGTAGACACCGTTCCGAACACCTGGAGAAACCGGCCAAACACCGAGAGAAACCGGACGGAACACCGGGCCGGTAGAAACCGTTCCGAACACCTGGAGAAACCGGCCAAACACCGAGAAAGGCCGGTCAAAATCCGGGAAAGGCCGGTCGAAACACCGGGAGAAACCGGCCCAAGCACCGGGAGAAGCAGAACGGAACACCAAAAGGTCAGAATGCTGTGGGAAACGGACCCAAAACATCCGGAGAAACTGGTCCAGGCACCGGGAGAAACCAGACAAAACACCGGGAGGGACTGTACCGAACGTCGGAACAGACCGGCCCAAACACCGAGAGAAACCAAACACAATATCAGGACAACTTGTGCACAACACCGCAAGTAACCAGGTGAAACACCGGGAGAAATCTGACCACAACACCGAAAGGAACTGATGAAATCGTATGCAGTGCTCTTGCGACGAACATCCTGGCTCATAACACCGGGAGAAACCGGTCCAAACACTGCTTGTCGGAGGAAAAGGAAACAACGCGGCATGCCCGAGAGAAGAGCGGGCCGGTGTAGCCATCGGTCCTGTCTCCCGGAATGTTCGCAAAGCAGAGGACACCTCATCTGCTCTGGCATTGCAACCAGCTGAGCCTGATGGTGAAATCGAATGAGGTCCGACTATGAGACGAGCTTCATCCGTTGGGTCATGGGTGGTTCGTAGGGGTTGTCGAGTGATGGCTGATAAAGGACAGCTTTGAACGGCGTGAACGAGCCGGTGGAAATCGCGAATCGTACCGGACGCCACATAGTCAAGGTGAGGTATAACCGCAGACCCGACAAAGGAAATTACTGACGTTTTTTGGTCAACCAGGGTACATTTTTTAGGCACGGACTCTCGAGTGTAGGCAGAGACTGAGACTGACTGGGCACTGAGACGGCCAAAAGACGACACCATTAACAACTGGGCGGAGCCAGGAACGTTTCACTGACAATCCAGATTCACTGGCCGTCTACCTGTCAAGGACCATGGACGACGAGTGTGTCCAATGATAAGGTTTCCTGAGGGAGTACACCACAGGCGGAACGGTTTCTGTCAGTTCATGCCTGTACGACGTAGGTTGTACTAAAACAAAGGCGGTTGAGGAGCGGGTCTCAATGCAACTACGGGTGTGTAGCTAGACGGTTGTCTTTGTCCCAGTTGAGGGTCACCTAATCCCATCGGCAAAATATTATGCTATTTTCGCTCATTTTCGCGACCTGACAAGTGAGATCTTGGAAGCGACATCAGCTTTATTTCAAGTATCAAACCCGGTGTTTTTTTTTGTAGCAGGCACCGTTCAATAACACATCCGGTAGCGTCTTTAAAGCTATTCCATTATAATCACATGCCATGTTTTTCGGCAGTCTTTTTTTGCAGCGCTGCTCACCCCATCTACTATTTTTGGTGGGTTATTGTTTTCTCTTAGCTTTGTTATGCTGTCCAGTGATATCAGATATCTGCACGTAAAAATAGCAGTTCTTTGGGGTGTTGCCAAAGCAAAGCAAATGTCTTTCCTGGAGGCGATTGGTAGTTTTATTGATATTGATTTTCTCATCAGATATATGTTCTGCTCGTCACAGCGAATCTTCTCCATTTAGCAAAATCACTTTAAAATTGTTCCGATACCCGCATCTACCATTCAGATCGTCTTTTTCATATCTGCCTATTTTTCTAGGGCTCGTCCATAGTTAATAGGTATATATGTATTTATCTTACATCAGCGAGAGATGGATGAGACATCTGTGAGGCCTGATCTGCTCGCTCGTTCCCTCAGTCACACAAATATTTCTGGTGGCGCGGCGGGTCTTGTTGGCTCGTTTTCTGCGCGCTGAGTGACAGACGACCTGCGGCAGCCCACCGCTGAGTTGTCAAACAGCTCCGCGCGGCCGGGGACCGTGGCCGCCGGCGCCGTACGTCTGTGGCTTACACGTATGAGAACATCGGGCAGCTCTGCTGGCGATGCCGGCTGCGGGCGATCAGAAAACGGGAATCAAGAATGGAAATAGTCTCGAGCTCAGTGACAAAATCACGTCGCAGTAGCACTTCGGATGTGGGACAGATGCGTAGTTGTTGACAACTTCTGGGAATAACTGCGACTGAAATATGTGCATAGTCGAAAGAAAGGTGGGCGTGACATTTTACATATATTAGGCTGAAAAGGAGCACAATTGTCAGCATGGCTGAAAATGGGCTGTGGAAAACACCCTGCTATCTTGACAGGAATAGTGACGACCCGCCCGCTGAGATAACACATCGCGTCTGTGTGTGCGTATGCCAGCGTTGGTCACCGTTGAACGCTGTCGTCGCGCGTGCCAGCGCCTCAGCTGCCCCACTGCCCTGAGGGGGGGGGCGTGTCCAGTCACCTGTTGGTGGACCGACCGACGCTGGCAGACAGCCCAGAGGACGGGCGGGCGACGGGCACGGGTCCCGCAGAGTGGAGACAGAGCGACCGATGGAGATAACCTTCCGGGCGGTCCGTCCCTAAAAGGAAGAGGGTGTCCCACGCTGCCAATGCGCCGGGTGTCGATGGTGCTAAAGCGAGCTCACTTTCTTGTAAATTTAGGCATTGACCAGCTTTTTACTGAACTTTTGGTTTGGTATCATCATAGATAACATGATTCATGTTATCTATGGTATCATCTATCCCTCAATCATGGTAGAAGGCAGCTCCGCTAAAATTCTGGCCGCTTATTTTTGTTACATTTGTCGTTTGACTTGGCAGAATGTTACATATTGACACTACATAGCTACGACAGGATATTTTCGAAAAATGCCACTTCAGAGCACGAAGACGAACAACCCAAACACTCGATCGTCCGCCGTGCACAGGCGCGACTGACGTGTTACAGAGACTGAGGGGAACTGTGACTGTCGGCGTGTGAGGCCGGCTGACGTTCACATATTGTGGCGAGCTCTGACTGAGTCTGATGACTGACTGACGGAAAGCCAGCGGCGGCTGCCTGCTGACGAGGGAACACGACGTTCCAACTTCCCACTGACATCTACTAGACACGACTAGAGGGCATATCGCTACCCCGAGCTTTGATATCCAGTGAATCACAACTCGGAGTCGTACAGAGAGCTGGTCTATCCGTGTGTTTACTTTTCGTGGCCGAATCTCGCCTCTATTTGGCGCCCAGTTGCTGTGCAGGGGGTGTAAAAGTACGGTAAGTCAGGACCTGCTCTTAGCTGTTTGCCATAGACTGCCTCATTTCGTCGGATTCGTAGTGTTTTTTGGCGGAGTGTTTTGTGTTTTCGGGTAATGTTTAGTTCCCAAGCCCATACATGTTCCTCATCTCTTTAGCTAAACTCTTCAAAATACTTAACTTTTGTAGTATGAACCGTGCCCTTTGGATGTTTTTTTTTCAGAATGTCTCCCCACATATCGCGTTCTGGTTGTTGTCCGTGCATGAGAGGACTGGTTGCAGCGTTTGAAATTTGCTCGAAAACTCTTACGAGGACTGTGAAGTGTGTAATGCTCTGTTTCTGACTGCATGCCTTGTATGCCAATGGTTGTGTTGTTGATAGTGTGATAAAGGATCACTGTGTGATTTGTGTAGGATATCTTAAATTGTAGCGATGGTTAGATTATATTATCCTCATGGTAATGAATATGCTGTCATTACCATATTGCACACTTGACGCTGGCGCAGCTCCGTCGGTAGAGTCGGTTGTTGAAAAGGCCAGCTAAACTGAAGCCATTCTATTCATCATTGCGAGGCTTTCCTTGAAGCGTGAACACGTGAACTTAGTTACTTATCCTGGTAATAAAGTAAACAAAATGCTACTCAGAAGGGATGGCAGTTCGTTGGAAGGCTCGTGTCAGGCTCGTGTCGGGTCGCTTTCCGAGGTCTCCCTCAGTGGTGCTAATTCACTGAGGCGACAACTGGCTGCGGCCTCGGTGACCGCCCTGCCGAGCGGAGCGTAAAATGACCTCCGGTCACACTCAGCAGAGCGTGTCGCAGCTGGCCGCCTCTCAATCCCGCCCTGTTTGTCACAGGGCGCCCCTTTCCCAGGCACAGTCGCGTGATTCTCATATAGTGGCATAATTCTCCAAGATATGATGCAACAATGCGCCCACTGTCCCATCTCACAAACGTCTTCGTCGGCACGATGGTCACGACACGTCTCCTGTACGTCAAAGCACGACGCCACAGTGCCAAGAGTCAAGACCCATGCCGTTTGTCTCGGGAGTTGAGACCGGGACCGAGTCCCAGGGGTCGCGGCTATCAGCGAGTGTCTGACGTCACCCAGTGATGCGCTATCACTGGACTGTAATCGCCACGCCCCGTGTGGATTGTCCATGATGGTAATACATACATACATACATACATACATACATACATACCTACATACATACATACATACATACATACATACATACCAGTATAACGCCTTTGGGGGCGACTAACGGAGCGAGCGAGAGGGTGAGCCTTGCACGTGCGAAATTTCGACGGGGTACCTCCAGCTGACTTGTGCACGGCACCCTACTAACCGGTCTCTAGCGATGTGCCAAATTTGAGCACAATCGGCCCAGCCGTTCTCGAGATCTGGAAGCGGCACCCTGCACGTGCGCACGTGCAAAATGGGTCCCTACTGACTTTTGCACGGCACCCTACTAACCGGTCCCTAACCACGTGCCAAATTTGAGCGCCATCGGTCCAGCCGTTCTCGATATCTGGAAACGACCCCTGCACGTGCGCACGTGCAGCAGCACCCCAACTCTGGCACATGGATATGCAGTGCCTAGTGGGTGCCTACCTACATGCCAACTTTCAGCACAATCGGCCAAGTAGTTACCGAGATATTGCAACAATTACAAAACTGACACCTCTTCGTTTTGCACGTGGCACGTGCATAAGGGGTCACCCACATGCATCGGGAATAGTCCAATACTTGGTAGAAGGAATGAAGCTACCCTACAAAAATTACCGCGTGTAAATCGGTCAAGTGGTTGCTGAGATATAAGCCTCGCAAAAGCGTCCGCACGGCCGGCCGGCCGGCCGGCCGGCCGCTCATACTCAGAAATTTCCGTTAATCTAATGAAAGACTCCGCTCGCTTCGCTCGCTCCGTAATCAATAGTCACACCGTGGTGATTGGTCACTTTAGTAATGTTTCCGGCCTCGTCAGTCTGTCTTCCCCTTTCCCCACTGTTGCTCCGCTAAACTTTCTTTAGATATACCGTGTCAGACAAAACAGCCAGTTGAGGCAGAGAGCGCCTCGACCTCGGTTTGTGAGTTGTTTGGCCTCGCTGCGCGGCAGGTCATCAGACGTGTTATGGAGATGTCGCAATCTTCAGAACTCTCCTCTGAGCTCCCCTTAAGCACGGTTAGTGGCCCCCAGCGGACGACATAGCCGCTCGCCCTGCCCTTCCGGCGTGATGAAACATGCAAAACGACCCGCCAGGGCACAAACACAACACGTTCAAATTGAAAAATGCAGAGCAATGAGTGTCAAGAACCTATCCACTTTTCCTACTTGCCTATTGAACGTAAACGATGCCTTTGCCTTTTTGCCATGTCTTAGGCCAACTCATTCCCAGGGCGCTAAAACGATACGTCGGCACAAGGTAACTTAACGGGCACTTGGCATTACTCATAGGTAGGGGAAGTTGGGGCAATGCCGGAGTTGGGGCAAAGCCGAAATTCGAGATATTTCGAAAACCGTAAGACATGGATGCCACCTGTCAGTGATGCTCTGAAGCTTAAGTGACTACAATTATCGCATGTTTGTAACGAGTCGTCATTCGGAATACTTCGGCTGTGAGGGCGCCAAGAGCGTTTTCAAGGTACGCGTTCCTTGTACTACATGCGCCTTTGAAGCTGCATATCTTACTCATTATGCTACCGTTTGTCTGGCCAATTCGGTCAAGTAATCTTCAGCAGGTCTTTGCATAAGTGTGCTGCCTATTTGAAATTTATACGGCACGTTGAAAAGTTATGGGCCTGCAAATGAAAGTATGGCTGGCTGGGGTAATGCCGAAAACGTGCAATTACGCACGTTAAAGCACGCTACGTGGACTTTACTGCTGTAGAATAGCAACGCGAATTTTTAGTCACACAAATTACACTTTCAACCGACACAACGGCCTGTTACCTATAAGGAATTATTTACCTGGCATTTTCTTATTAGGTATATCACACAATTATAACTTCCAGTGTGCACCAAGCGTCCTCAAGCTCTTAAAACGCGTGTCAGCTTGGATAAATTCTGGATAAAGTTTAAGATAAAGTGGCAAAACATCAATGTCGGCATTCCCCGTAGATCATTTCTCTCATTTTCGGCTTTCCCCGCAGTCCGGGGCAACGCCGAAAAAGTCACTTCTTTGATATTTTTAGTTTGTGCGCTTAACGGTATGCGAATTCATCAAATGCGCCTGGTATGTTTGAAAGGCAAAAGACTGGCCTCTCGAATGACGCCAACAAGAATAGCCTATGTTGTCTACTTTGCGTGCTACGGGCGTCAGAAAAAAAGTATTCGGCGTTCCCCCAACTTCCCCTATAGGTACGCGTCTTATCCGGTATCACATTGTAAATGTAGCGTTTTGGACTTGACTTTGGCTCTAAAACGTGTGTCGTCCGTTGGCTAGTGCACTGTTAGACACGTGTATTTGCAGTGTGTTGTGTATGATGTTGCGTCTACCGTATGCTGTAGGTATTGATGTCTCCTGCGCGTGTGCCATGATTCTGCCGTCCGTACCCTCTGTGTCATCTTGTACCATGTCTCAGCTGTGGGCTGTGGTTGTGACACTGTTACACTGACCAGTTTCCTCGCTGTGTCGCCAGGTTCATCCGTGCGGCCGGTACGGTTGTGACACTGGTACACTGACCCTGTTCCTCGCTGTGTCGCCAGGTTCACCCGTGCGGCCGGTACCGCCATAACACGGTGGTGTTCATTCTGGCCAAGGAGCACGGCCTGAAGAACCTGCGGACCATCCACCGCCTCGACCGGCTGACCAGCGGTGAGTAGAGACAGCACAGCACACAGCACACAGCACAGCACATCAGCTCGTCGAGCCTTGATCTGGACCACCATGTACCGAGGACTCGTAGCTCAATTGCTGATTCTTTTATTTGGTTATTTTCCCATCCGGTCGATGACATATTGGCCGTGCAGTAAATGTCATCACAGACAGACCGCAAATTAAATGAAACCATTGACATCAATTGTGGTGTTCCTTATGCGCTACTTCAGAACCAAATGCTCACTAACATTCAGCGTTATTTGTTTGTTTTGGGCGATGACGCTCTCCAATGGGGCACGTCAAGCTTGTGTGTTGTCTTTAGCTGTGAGTTTATAAAACAACTCAGCAAGTACTTTGTCTCTCCGTGTACACTAGACAAAAGTCGAAGCTTATGTTTAAGAACTTGGGGTTCTCGCCGAATACCTATCCTCTTTCCCAGTTTGTGTTGTGCATTGATTTCCCTCGGTGTATTTAGGTGTTTTTTTTTTGTAATTTCTTAAAGGTAGTGTGCCACCTTTGAAAGATTTCCCATTTATTTTTCCTAGGATAAGAAGCTTCTGTTTTTACCTTATATCGAAAAAAAATCAAAAATGGGCCTGGAATAGTGCCTTTTTCGCCTAAAAGTTTATCGGTTTTTCGATATGTATAACAACTGTAGTGGGCTGAACTGCAAACAGGCGTCGGCAACAATCGCGAATGCGGCGCACATGTGACAATAAGCAAAGGTCATTATAGAGTTACGACATACGGGAATGAGTTATCAGCTGTCTAATCGTAGACAACACAATGTCGAGCCTTAAACTGTAAGCCTGTATTGGTATTGTTTCTTTTATTCGGCTGTCGAATATTATTTATGGTTTGAAATATGATTTTATGTAAAATAATTGATAAGAAAAAGCCGTCTCTTAATTTATGGCCCCATTTCACCACACGCAAGTGGCAGAAATGACAATGATCAGCTGACGCATTTTTCTTGGCCGAAGTCAGAGCGCGCGGCCCGACGCACCACCACCGCACCACAAAGTATGAGCAGAAGCCGCGCCCAAAGCCAGGGCCCCGGTAACGTGAGGTAGCCGAGTCGGGGCAGCGTGCGCTGACCCAAGCCAGGGCCGCAGCTTTGGGCGCGGTCTACCGCATCCCCGCGGGCAGCCCCGGGCTATCACATGACACCGGGAGGACGCGCGGCCCCGGCTTGGGTCAGCGCACGCTGCCCCGACTCGGCTACCTCACGTTACCGGGGCCCTGGCTTTGGGCGCGGTCTACCGCACCACCTAACAGGCGTGTTCGAAACCGCAGGAGATGATGATGAACGGGTTTATCGAAACTTGATTGGATGAGCCTATCGGTAATAGCGATTTTAGTGTGTGCATTTATTGTTCATAGTGGTGTGAAATGTGGTTGGGGTACGACCGACAACCCGTCGAGGCGAATTTCGCACTGGGGTACTCAAAATTTGAAGAATTTAAGACGTTTCCATGAGTTTTGAAGGTATGGATAAGTTCTAAAAATCCGGTTCTCCTTATCTGGGCCATTAACTCCATACGGTCCAGGAAAGCTGGCACACTACCTTTAATATGATAACATATGTTTATCAGCGAAACTGCTTGCTTTCCTCAGCTTTTACCAAGTCCCTTCACGTGTCTGCATTCCAAGTTATTTCCTTTTCCTTTTGGGTTGATATCAGCCCGTATATGGGACCAGACGGAACAATCAGTGAGCGTTCACCAGCCAGCCCCAGTTTCTGTCCGAAGGCATGGTGTTTGCTCGGTTGCTACGCTGGTTTTTGCCATCACCCCGGTCTGTTGGTACTGGTAACCGGGAAAGAACAATAGCGACAAACACCTGAATACCGTGACAAGCCGTTGTTTACCGTGGCACTAAGACGTATGGATACGGCCTGCTGTCACCTTACTTGGACGGTAATGGCGTGAAGAGGCACACCGTGATTGATACGGTACGATACGATACGGCACGATACAAATATGGCACAATTGATGATACAATCATGATCATTTACATGCGTCTTAGGCTACTCTGCCCGCCAGAACAGTATGTCAACTGTTGGTTATGAGAAGTTTTTTTTTCAGCGGCTTTCTTGACCGTTGATGAAGTTTGATTTGTTTTTTGTTGTTCACATTGCCATTCAAATCACATCCATCTTAAGTTTTACGCCGTTACCCACTATCACTCTCCGATTTCACTGTGCCCCGTGGCCGCTCAGGGTCCTGAGAAGTGAATGCGCCGTCACCCCACGTCCCCGAATCCTCACTCTCTGGTCCGAGTTCCGACCCAACATCTGTCGCTTCCCTTATTCACCTGCCAATGCCTACCACACCCTGCGTATCTGATGCCAGGACACTATGGGAGCTCCCCTCCTCACTCGATCGGGGAACCGCGTTGTGTCACCATGACGCCGCCGTCACGCCCGTGACACTGCCGTGTCGAACTGTGACGCGACGGACCCGACACGTCGTCGCCAGCACGCGACCGTGACACCGGACGGCGACCCGGTCGTACCGGCGATTTATTGGCCTGTGGAAGATTGGCTCAGTCCGGTAATGACCAAACGTTGTGGGCTATGATGGTTGACATGGTTCATTGCGTGGTTCTTGTTGATTGATATCTCATTCTTTCTACTTAATGTATCGATCGCTTAGTGTTGATGTGAGTATAGGTGCTGTAATAAATATATCGTCGGGCTGTATTTGCAGTTGTCATTAGCCGGTCGTTAGGTGACTTAAGAACGGTTGTATTCAAAGCAATGCACTACAACCGAGCTTTTCACCAGCTCCGGGAGCCATATATGTAGAGCTCAAGCAGTCTCCAAGGTCATTGAAGTCGTCAAATTGAAAAGGTTTCCATCTCAATATGAACAGAAGCATAACAGTTTCCGACATTAATGTTTCTACTGCATGATTGCTTTTCTCAGAGCACTGCTGTCTGCTCCTGAACTTCCGTGGGTCTACCGAGCTGTGGACCGACTTTGTATCTGTCCGATCTCTCTCTCTCTCTCTCTCTCTCTCTCTCTCTCTCTCTCTCTCTCTCTCTCTCTCTCTCTCTCTCTCTCTCTCTCTCTCTCTCTCTCTCTCTCTCTCTCTCTTTCTCTCTCTCTCTCTCTCTCCCGCGCCTTTCGTCTGCATTGCCGATGCACGGTCCTCGATCGTTGGATGATGCAAATGGGCCACGCTGAGCCCTCACAGACGCATAAGGAATCGACTCCGGACGGCCATTTAGACCGACTGTCTGAATATAGTGGCCGGCCGGGAAATGGTGAGAGAATTGAGACGACTTTCTTCCGGGAGCGTCTGCGTCTGTCGGGCTGTCTCTGTCATACAGGGGCGTGGCGGTCTCTGGACTCGGAGAGAGCCATTTTCCGATAGCTGCTAGAGGCGACACGTGTGTAGAGGTGTTGCGAATTCTGACCAACACACCCCGTTCCGTTTCGGGTCGATGGCGGCCCGTTGACAATTTACTTTCCTGACAGGTCAGATTCCCGCCTGCATTAGAATGCGCCTACCGAGCCCAGCTAGTGAGGCTTATCGGTACGACAAACACTGCCAGCAAATCCTCTGGCGCGGCATGGCCGGCGGTCTGACGAGCTGGCCCTCTGACGGTCAGGGGTCAACTAATAGCCACTGTCACAATGCACTGTGTGTGACGTGTGCCGTTGCCTCGCATAATCCGGGCTATTTATAGCGCTGCCATGCCATCCACGCTGATGGCGGAACGGACCCGTAATTACTGACAGACCAATATCCACTATCCAGTTGAGTTTGACTTGCAGCTCTAATGTGCCTAAGTGTATTTTGTAAAACTGTTGGCTCTTCTGTCCCCTGCCCGGATACTCCAGCTCCAATTCACTCTTCTCTCTCTCTCTCTCTCTCTCTCTCTCTCTCTCTCTCTCTCTCTCTCTCTCTCTCTCTCTCTCTCTCTCTCTCTCTCTCTCTCTCTCTCTCTCTCTCTCTCTCTCTCTCTCTCTCTCTCTCTCCTTCCTCTCTCTCTCTCTCTCTCTCTCTCTTCTCTCTCTCTCTCTCTCTCTCTCTCTCTCTCTCTCTCTCTCTCTCTCTCTCTCTCTCTCTCTTTCTGCCGTCCTCTGTCCCCGCTACCGTCATCGTCCCCATCCCAGTACCCTTTCCTGCACCATGGCACGGCGTTGTCCGACCCCTGTCATATGCCCGGCCCAGTTCCAAGCTCCCGACTCCCGGCATCATGCCTGGCCATTAGTTCAAGGGGACGGCCCAGGGCTGTTTCGTGTCTAGTTAAAGGGTGCTGTTTCGTGCCATTATATAGTTAAAGGACGGCCCGGCGCTGTTTGGTATTCATCATATGGACTTATCTGCCGTAGTGGGACCGTCCATTGCCGCCGCTCTGCTCGGGCCCTGACACCACCGTCTCCCTTAGGTGAGATATGTCTGCGACAATACGAGACAGAGTTTCACACCGCCTGGCAAGGCAGACCGGTAGTTTCTTTATCCGTTGTAATAGGAACCAACTCCATGAATCCGCGCATGATTGATTGCCTATAGTTGTTTCTCAGATTCCATAAGTGAACCAAACCAATACGCCGTCACGCTTTGGTTCATCCACAGCTCATGTGATCATGACTTGGAACATCCAGCGGGGTCTGATTGAGCGAGAATCTTTTGGCTCGTTTTATAATGATTCTTTATAAAAGCTTTGATGAAATGAAATTGAAAAGTTTGCAGGCATCCAATCTGAGGGTAGTCATTTGAGCATTTGTGTTTGTGTCATGTGTGAAATTCATTCCTTCCCGTCATGAGCCTCCAGCATTCTTGGTTTGGCAACGGATCATAAAGCTCCAGGAACGCGCGGAAGCAATCTCCATATAGTTACGCGGCCGCCGTCCCTCACCGCTCTTGTTTGAGATTGTATCTTCTGGGTGACGAGGTTCCTGTCAGCGAATCAGCTGTTGTCATGGCAACGAGCAGCTCTGCGGCGAAGTTACCTTGGCCCGGTGGACGGCGGGGGTCATCAGGTCGACCGATGCCGACCCAACGCAAACGTCCGCCCGCTAACAGACAGACAGACCAGCTGCCGATGATAGTTCTGTGGGCCCCGGGCGGCGTCAGGCTGAGATAGGTACCGGGGCAATTTGGGCCGGATGGCGAGTATGTGGCATGTGCCTGTGGTACGGTGAGACTGAGCTCCTTACGGATTCAATGGGCTCCATATTCACACTGCACACATGTGAACGGATAGTCCTGTGTAGATCAATGAGACGTGTGTGCTGTGTAGTGCTCAAAACTCAGAAATGGCTCGTTTGTGCTCCGTGATTCATGAGCCAATAGTTACCTGGACTTGTCGTTTCGGGGTTCAATAATGTTCGATCAGCGTCCTGCGCCGGGCGTCCGACCGATCCAACCCTCACACTGGCGTGGTAGACTGTGCCGCGCCACAGGCATGTACTGCGGGCAGCCTACCTTCCCGTCCGCCCGTAGTCCCACACTCGCAGCCTCGGCAGCCGGCAGATGCTGGACGCCCGACACACACTGGCACGGATGGTCCCATTCTGCAGCAGCACTCAGCAGTCACCTCCCAAAGGGCTTCACAGAGGTCACTAAATCCCCCGCCCTCCCGAGAAATCACACCACCTGTCCCCTGTCTTCCCTCGCTCTACCGTAGGTGTCTGCGCTCACGCTCATTCACCCCCGCATTTCCCTGCGGAGAGCAGAGGTTCACCCCCGCATCTCCCCGCGGAGGGCAGAGGTCAACACGGCCGTCTCGGGAGGGCTGCGGCACCCGTTCGTCACACACGCGCCACTATTGATCTGTTTGCGCCGCGTACGCCGCACCGCGCCGCGCCTCGCGAGGTGAACAGACAGGTGCGGGCCCGGCGTCTGGGCTCTGTCTGCAAGAAGTCCGGATCCTCTGATACCAACAGGGGAATCGGGAACAACATCGGGAATCGTCAACTCATTTATGTAATTCATAGTGACTAGATTCCATCTCGATTCTGTCGTTACTTTCGTGTCATACCGGAGGTAGAAACAATTATCATTGCATCGCCGTCAAACTACGAGTATGTAGTTGAATTGCTGTCACCTGGGCCTCGTTTCATAAAGCGAGTCCGTAACTTATGCCGGTTTTTGGTCTAGCGATAAATCTATTTCACTTTCTCCCGTCCGTTCTTGCTTGCAAGATACATAAATGCAACGATTCAAACTATCGTCATCTCTTTACATGCACTTGCAATACAAGACCAAAAACCGGCGTAAGTTACGAACTCGCTTTATGAAACGAGGCCCTGGTTCTAATAGGTAGTCGCAGTCCCACCGGTGCCACCACCACGGACTCGATGTCTCAGGACAGAGTTCATGGCACCTCATCGCAGTGCTGCGCCGACGGTCTATTATTGGACGGCGCCTTCCCAGGCCTCTCCGGTCCAATGGTACGGCCGGCGTGAGGCCTCCTTTTCTCTCGTGTTTCCGGCGGGGCCGCTGATTAATGAGGTCGACACCACCTTGGCCGCACCTCGGCCTTTTGGAGTACTCGCCTCGCTGACATCGGGGATTAGATCCGCCATCTGCCGCTAAGGTCCTGCCTCTGACGACGTTTTGATGTTGATGGTGATGTTCTGAATATATGTGAACCCACCCTAATTAAATATACCCTGTGAACCCACTGCAACATGCGGAAGGTCATAGACATATGCTCCTCGTAATATTGTATGATATCCAATCCAATATATAAGTTAAATGTTTGTATCGTGGTGCTTCTTTTCGTCCGAAACGTATGGGAGTTGACTACGAATAATCTGGCTTCTAATTTTGATGGATGAATTTGCTATTATAAGATAAATGAATACTCTCGGGCCGGGCTCATAATTCGGGTATTGTTTTATGGTTTTTAGTTTAAAGACAATTAATGTTAAATGGTCCATATATTTATAGGTATAAGGCAAGCCCTCGACAGCGCAAGCCATTTTGTCTCCGACGGCTCGGAGCATAGGTGCTGCGCTTTCTTCGCGTATAATCCCAAAGGGACAAAACTTGGCCCAAAACTCACCAAGGTAGCTCAACCAAAACTTGGTGGTAAATCGGGCGGACCTGTCTGCAAATAGGACCAATGTTTACCAAACAAGTTTATGATTCCAGTGTGAAACTACCTTAACTCAGTTTCATAGTTTTGATTCAGGATATGTCCTTTTTTCATTTGTGTGGGCATGATGCCGTCGCCGCTAGATAATATAAAGCCAGCAGTAGTACCTACCTCCAATTAATACCTCCGTCCTTCAATTGATTCCAGCAGTACCGTACCTGTGTATTTGTGAAATATCGGATAAGTTAAACGCGTTTTAAATTGTGACGTCATTTTTTGGAGGACTGAGGTCAATGACCTGGAGCCGACCTTTCGTCTTACGTAATAACTCATCATGAGAACATGCTTCTGCCGAATAAAATGATTAGCTAATCACTAATGGCATTCGTTAGAGCAAATACAGGAGACATTTTCCCGAGCTCCGGCCATCAGTCGAGAGTTGCCTGCAGAACGGACTGAGCTCGCGTGCCGTCTGCCATCGGGTGTGATAGCCGTCCCCGGGGCAATGTCGGTCCGTGTTGCCGACCAGTGCGTGACCGCCGCCCTCGCTGCGCTAATTAAGCTGGACGCTAATGAAATGAGGGCACGGTAATTAAGTGATGAGCTACCTGGCAGTGTAACACGTAACAAGTGAGGTATTTACGGCCCCAAAGGGACGGGCAGGTGCGTGAATGTCTAATTGAATTAAAAAGGTGCTGCTTATACGAGGTGGCGAATTACAGCCATTTGCATCATTAGTGCATGTTCAATGTTCATACAGGCATTTGTTGATCTCGCCTCGCCCACTTCAAGACAACACTCAATCATCACAATCCGTGTGGCCGCTAATAGTAGTCGTATCCACTGTAGCTATTCGGTCGGGGAGAGCCCGCTCCGACCGTGCCTCATTGGCGCAGTGGTTTACAGCCCCCCCCCCTTCTCAATTCAACGCCCCTCCCTCCCACTCAGAGCCGCCAAACCCGTCCGCTCGCTCGGCGGAGCCGGCGGCAGCGGACCCTGCCCAGCCGTAATATCTGCGGGCCGTTTGTTGAAAGATGGAATGTCGCCTTGATTACGGGAGTAATATCTCACCCCAGTCTCGGCCGCTGGCTCCCTACGCTCGATATTAGATGTGGGCATGTCAGCCGGCCAAGTGTTATTCAACTGGAATGTTAGGACCAAATGATCGGACCTATAATCAATTTATACGCAAGGGCGTGTTATTCTCGAGGTCGCATTGATTCAATGGAAAAGGAAAATATGTTTGCAGGAGCAAGTAGTGCATATCAAAGGAAGGAGATCCAGCGAATGTTTTGCTTCATTTTTATATTTAGCCACTCTTATCGTTAATTTTGTTTTGCCGATTCAGGATGCCCTCAGCTATGTCACTGTATGCAATGGGCACAATAGAGGTAAGAGCCTCCGAGACGTTTTGGCATGTCTCTTTCAGGCTGTGAGTGTGCTGCAACAGTGCTGAACCTGGCGAGGTTCTACCTATGGGTATATCCTGGTCTACTGATGTTCTACGTTTCACTGTCCGCGTATTTCCATTTCCCCTCGCCACGCGATCTGCTAATGTTCGGCCGCTTCTGTCCCCTGGTCTACTGACATGCAGCCGTTTCCTGCTCCCACGTTCACCTGTGCTGATGTGTTCGTTTGTCCGCAGGTCTGCTCATGTTCGGGCGCACCCCGGCAAAGGCGCGCGACATGGAGCAGCAGATCCGGACGCGCCAGGTCACCAAGGAGTACGTGTGCCGCGTGGAGGGCGAGTTCCCCAGGTCAGTCCCCAGCCCTCCCTGCCACGGCTCCCGTGCTGCTGCGTGTCGGGCCGGCCGCATTTCTGCCGCCGGTCGAGCGGGAGGGGAGGATAGCGTGACCAGAGTTACGTGAGCGGCAGAACCGATCACGATCGAGATATCGAGCCGAACAGGTCGGCTTTGGTCGGATTGGGCCGACCGGCGGCCGCAGGAGACTGCCACTAACGGGTGCCGTTGGTGTGTCTTTTGATTACGACCACCGACGAAAATTGGTATTTGTCGCGATGCATTATTTTGCAGACATATTGTGGAAATATAATGAACCCATAATTGCTGTAGCAGCAGCTCCCAGAAAAGCTGATATCTCAACATATTTTAAGTTGTGGCTCAAGTCTAAGGTTGAACTAAAAACCCATTAGCTTGGTCCTAATCTGCTGAGGCACTGCGTATGGCGTGCCAGGCTCGGCCGCGCTGGCAGAGCCGAGCCTTTGTCGCCAGTTGTTCAAAGAGAGTTCGCCACAACTCGATCAGCACCGCTAACAATGCGCGCTGGAATATTTTTACATCGTAACACGGTCTGTCTTTTGAAGTTGAAACCAGATTTGTGGGAGCTCGGGTCCAAGCCTCCAGTTTCAAAGAATCCAAGATTTTCTAGAGGATTGTGTTTTTGTGGTCGTGGTGATGGTTATTTTCCATGTAATGATCTAACCCTCCCCTTTGTTTTTTAAGGTGTTCTAACGAAACCGAACTGAGTTTCAGTTCTCCTCTCCGACCTTCATGAATTATTTTATTTGATTCATCTCCCTCCTTTTGCTTTTCTTCCACCTTCAGACCCTCTCCCCTCGTCCTGTCTCCCTTCCCTCACGCCTCGTCTACCTCTGGCTCCTCCAGCCTGGAAGGTAGCACGACTCTGATACAATTTTCCGAACTAGGCTAATACAATCCACACAAACTTTTCCAACAACTCGTCGACCTTCTGGCGGCGAACCGGTGGAGTCTGCCCGTCCCTCGACGAGCGAGCTGAAAGCGGCCATTTTGCCGTCGTATATTTTGTATGTTTGTCAAAGGTGCGTCCCCCTTGGCCCGCCTGAGCTGAAAGAGGTCCGCTGAGTGTAGCGTCAGGTACACCGTGTTTTGGGGAGATGCTGAGCCGCTGTTTTTGCCGACGTGTTGATGGGGAGAGTGAATAGGCGGGAGGGCAGAGGGAAGTAGGACGAATGAAAGATCGGATAGAGACACACTTCAACTTCACACGACCCAAACTTCTAGCTGTCGGCCTGCTATCAACTTCTCTCTGGCTCTGAATTATGTGGGAGCAACGCGTTGGTAGGCTGGTAGCGCTTTCAGCTTGTCAAAATAAAAGCAGAAGTGTTGGTAATAGCACTCGTTTTAGCAGGAAAGATAGCCACCGGTACATCTAACAAATGAAGACAATTCTGAACAGCTTCGAGTACCTGCCTACAAGTACTTGTTCAGCTTTTAATTACATTTGACCGGCTCATGGCCCTGTTAATATAATTTGTAGTGGTTTTGTGGTGCCATCAGTCCGTTATAGTGTCATCGCGTAGCACCCAACTGAGGGAGAATGATCGGTACCGTATTCCTTCCGTGCCAGCCGTGTACCATTCAATGCGTGAAAAAAATGAGATGTTATGCGTTCAACGAAACCCGTAACAAGCCTGTGTGGTCCTGCATTGACCGTCCATTTTAGCTAATATTTGCGTCAGCCGCTGAGGTCACAGCTCGTCACCGGTGAAGGTCGACTCGGTCTAATTAATTTACGGCGATCGTAGCGGTCGCGCCCCTGGCATCGACACAGGCCTCCATTCCGCGGCGCTGACTTACTGTGGAGCAGGAATGTCCGGTGCGTCGGCGCCTGCCAAGCCCGCTCCTCACGGGCGTCCTGGCGGCCTCTGGGCGGAATACGAGTCGGGAGCCGCTCTCGGAGAGTGCGGGGGAGGGGGGAGGGAGGTGCGGTCTGGGTCGGTGTCCGGTGACCCGCGCAGGCCGCTCTCTCAGCCAATCACAACACTACGCCGCCTGTGCGACCGATCCGCCGCTGTTGTCCGACGGTGTAGGTGGTGGTGAGCTGAGCGGGGAGGGGTCACCCGGTGTAAGGGCGCGAGGTGGGCCAGAACAGTGGCGGGGGGGGGGGGGACCACACACCACCGAGGGTTCGTTGGTCGTCGTAGTTGCCAAAGTTTCCACGGCATGTAGGAGGCGTTGTCTCCTGGGTTTCTTCGCCTATTGCTTCGTTCCGATTAGTCGTCGAAACTCTGGAAAAGACTCGAAGGATGAATTACTTTTATTCCATCGACTTAATCGGTAGACGAATTTTGGATGTTTCATTGAGTACTAACGAATTATCCAACGAGGACACCATGCAAAAGAGTGCAGAAAAGAGTGCAGTACTAAAATCAGTTAGTTTATCTGTAGCGCTTCAATCAGCGTTGATTGTGACGCGAGTCTCTGCGATATTTGTTGTAATATCGCCCAGCTGGGATCGTCATCCATCTCCCTCCCTCCCCTCCCCTCCCCGGCACGTACCGGGCGGCCGGGACTCACTCCCCGAGCCACAGGCGAATCCCGGACCGCCCGGCGGCTCAGGGGATCGCACGCGAGCTGGCCGATCTTTGGAAACGGCACCGCCAGGTCGCTCGAACTAATCCGGCAGGTTAAATGGGGTCGTTTGAGTTGACCCGCTGATTGGTTTTTATGGCCTGGCAGCACCACAGGACGTTCAATGGCTTGCTGAACTTTGTATAAGCAGTGTCTGTTATGTTGTTCTTTCAATCGCCTCTCCTTTGGCTGTACGTCAGAAGAAAGTGCAGTCGGAGCTCCTCGCTTCTCGACTCCGTGGTTCCCACCTCCCTGCTCTGTGTGTCTACTTTGGAGCGGCGCGACTGAGCGGTTACCGGCGGCGGGCTCCGCACACCTATATGGGCCGTCATTTCGCCGGGACGTGCCGTGGCCGCGGTGATTTATTCACGCCTATACCAAATCACGTCCACTCCCGGGGCAGATCTCGCCTATCATAGGGTATGGCGGCGCTCTGTTCGGCCAGCTGGATGTATCGGCGGCATTCTCTGAAAATGGGGCCGATCCGGGCTGCGGCGTGGGCCCACCTGGCACCTCTGACACTTCTCTAGCGGGTCATTGGTTTGCTGGATTGATGAAGTAACGTGGCCCAAATAATTGTACTCCTCCTACTGATGCCTTCTAATCGTTTACCATGTTGTACGATCCATAATATGTTTTAAAACTGCCTCACAAAGTCGCGCGTCTAACATTGTCAATCTTTATCAAAGATCGTTGACATGGAGCACGTAACTACACGTGCACGTAAAACGTAACTATCCACACTCATAGCACATTCACTGCCCTAAATCCCATAGGCGGCGGAACGGGGAGGGCACCGGGGCACCGTGCCCCCCCCCCCCCCACACACACCCTTTGATTTTGGCATTCCCCCTTAATTGAAGGTGTTCCGCCGCTACTGCTAAATCCTCGCTGACCGCAGGACAGGTGATTTGGGTTCACGTAACTGGCTCACGTTCGGGTCGACCATTGGCAGACGGCGCCGGCTCTGTCCCAACATAGCGTCTGTTTGGCCTTGGTGCCAGAGGATGGGCGGCAATAAATACTTATCCAACTATCTCTGTCGCCATTCCTGTCAAACTTCCTGGCGTATCGCTTCTGATTCTAATTCTAATAAAAGCCGGCTAATCTGTTGGTGCCGGGTGGGTCGAACTCTGCCAACTGGCGCAGACGTGTGGCCGTAAATTTCTTTTATTTCACCCGCGAGATGGAAGTTTCAGTTCGTGGTCAAACTTCTCAGTCAGTTCATGGCGGGCCGTACACCGAAATGGAGTGTTTCATGAGCGACACTTATATTAGGAATATTTTCTGACCTAGGGTCCGAAAGGACGCTTGATACGAGACTTGATTAAGACTTGATACGAGATTGATACGAGACGCTTGATGATGATGAATTCTTGAGATTTTGTCACTGCAGTTTGTTAAAGGGACCCTCCCACCTTCAAAAAAGTTTATGAATTGGCATGAAAGTGATGTCGCTCGGTTCAGAAAGAGCGAAAACGAATATCTACCAAATTTCACCGAAAAATATTCACTGGTTTTCAAGATATTAGACTTTTACTTTTGTTTACTTTTTTTGGGATCTCCTCTCTTTCTAGCGATTTTATTTTAGAAGTGCGGCGTTTGCGGCAGATGTTGCGCGCAAATAGCATATACCACCGCGTGCTACAAAACGTTTTAGTCAAACATTTAAAAATCGTTAGATATTTGCGCTGACGTCACACATTCACAGCGGTATTCCTCAGCATTAGCCCCTCTGAATCAAAATGCTGCAATTTTGAAATTCAATATTTCCGATTTAAGGCATTTCTCGATGTTGTGAGTGCCGAAACCGGTAATTGTGAGCCAGGGACCCCATTTTGGCTATCTCAACTCAAATCTAATGTTAAGGTGGGAGGGTCCCTTTAAGTGAGCCGTTTCTTCATTGTTCACAAAGTATTTCAGAAGTCACCGTAAACATTAGGTAAACACATGCTACATTTAAATTTTCACTTCAACTAGGTAGAGTAACGAAGGGTAACACTAGGCAACGAAATTACCTAGTGGTAATTTCCGGCACCATCTTTAATGAGCTCAACATATATGGCCTGGAGCTCAACACACTCGTAGTAAGACATGAGTCCAGGGCTGCGGAGTCGATGGATTTTCGGCGGCTCCGACTCCGACTCCGACTCCGGCTTTCAAAAACCAGCTCCGACTCCGACTCCGGGCAGAATTGTCGACTCCGACCGACTCCAAGTCCCGACTCCGACTCCGCAGACCTAGCAGGGCTGCGGACTGCGGAGTCGACAGATTTTCGGTGACTCCGACTCCGACTCCGGCTCGGGTTTCTAAAATCGACTTCGACTCCGACTCCGACTCCGGTCACAACTGTCGACTCCGACCGACTCCGACTCCGACTCCGACTCCGCAGCCGTGGATATGACCATGGGAAATGATTGCTAATAATGCCTTAAAACAAATGCAAATAAAGCGAGGTATTGCAGTAGCCATCCGCACAGCTTTCAGGGCGCGGAACTCTGGTTCATTTAAAGACGGACGCTTTTCATTAGTCCTCTATCTATCTATCTAAACTACCCGGATCGCTATCGCCTCCACCTAGTCGCCGCGCCGACCGGCCGCACAGCAAATAAAACACGATGTGATGCCCGGATCCACTAATTGAACCGTTCAAATATTTGGTGATCCAACCCGCGCTCATCCAGCGACCTTTGTGATCGCCGCTGTCCATCGGACGCCACCTGAAAGATAGACGACTCGATGTAAGGCTCGAGTTTCTTGTTCTGCCGGTGCTGTGTCGGTTGTTAGTGGTAGGATCGTATCAGTTCACCTATCTTCAGCGGTCAATGATTAACGGCAATTGCCGTCGGAGCATTCAGATCACGCAACAGCGCGCAAAATGGCGCAATCATGAGGCAGTGCACGTGAACGATTGTTTGCCCGGACAAAAACGAGTATCAGCTTTCAGTGTGGATGTCGGAAAACTGGCTCAATTTATCTCCCTCCATCGCGTCGGTTTGCTGGGTGAGACTGCAGGGGTGGACATGCAGTAGGTAGTCCTATACCGTCTGTGTCTGCCGTTTCGCAGCTATATGGATTTCCGCCGGCAGCCTAAATTAACGATGTGTCGCCTACATATTTTGTCACCCTCAGCTTCCTCCCACACTGACTCCAGAGGTTTTCTGAAGGGTGTTGTGTTTTGTAGTGAGCGTGCAGTGTTCTTAGGTCTCCAATTCTAGCCCTCTAATTCTTTTGTGATCCGCTTATTACGTGTATGCTACGTATGCTATAAGTGTCACCCAATTTCAACTTCTGTAACATTTTATCCGCGTGCCACAGGGCCGAATCTAGCGCAGAGGACCGATCACTGAGTCGTGCCCGGCCTGGAATGAAACGTCTCTCGAGTGTAACCCTTGGAGTCCACCCGTCGGGTGTAACCTCGCCGTCCGCCCCCTGCTTGTTCCCAGTGAGCCGATCTCGTGTAAGGAGCCGATCGAGGTGGTCAGCTACAAGATCGGCGTCTGCAAGGTCTCTCCCAAGGGCAAGGAGTGTCTGACGGAGTTCACGCGGCTCAACTACAACGGCCGCAGCTCGGTGGTCGTGTGTCGGCCGCAGACGGGCCGCATGCACCAGATCCGGGTCCACCTGCAGTACCTAGGTGAGAGCCGGTACCAGATCCGCGTCCACCTGCAGTACCTAGGTGAGACACGGGTCCAGATCCGGGTTAACCTGCAGTACCTGGGTGAGATTCGGACGGTACCACCTGCAGTACCTAGGTGAAACACGGTACCACCTGCAGTACCTACCTAGGTGAGATACAGTACCACCTGCAGTACCTACCTACCTAGGTGAGATACGGTACCACTAGGTGAGACACGGCACCACATCCGCGTCCATCTGCAATACCTGAGTGAGATACGGAACCAGGTATCAGTGCTACCTATTCCTTGACTTCCTTCAGCAAAAACGAGCTTCTGCCCTCGTTGTGCTGTGCAACATACAGTGCAACATGGATATTGAGCCAACAAATATATTTACAAAGTCCACGTGTGCAGACACATCCTCTAGTCACATCTCATTGGCCGCGAGGAAACCAGCACCACAATGGCATTGGATGGTGTGCCGGAACAGACCCCATCGCCTGCTGTTCGGTAAAGGTCAGCGGGCGCCCGGTCTGCCTGCCAAGCAGCCCGCCGACAGCGGCCGGCCCGCGGCTGCCGCCATGAATTCTACAGACGCCGCCGGTAGCGATCTCAGATGCAGGGGGCGCGCCGTGGTCTGTACTGTACTGAATGGACAGCTGATACGGCGCCGGTGCCGCGTCCTGTGGCCGTGATCTGACGCCTGTAATGGGCATCCGCCGCCGCCCATCCACTGTGGGTTGAAACACCGGAAATGTACAGACGACTGCGGTGTGCCTTGGTCGTTATTATAGGATATCGGGTGACTGACTGTATTTAACTGGTCTTTGTCCCGATTCCGGATCACATATTAATATTGCAGACGAATTGTTCACTGTTGTGGTCAATGGTTGCTGCTATGCCCACTGGCCAGGCCATATTCGAGTGTGTCGGTGAGTGATTTAGTTGAAGTTCGTCACCGTTATGCTGGCCATATTCGAGTGTGTCGTGTCGCCGTGTGGCACGTGTCGCTTCTGACCGGTTCCCTCCCACCCGGGCAGGTTATCCGATCATCAACGACCCCCTGTACAACCACACCGTGTTCGGGCCGGGCAAGGGCAAGGGCGGCACCATCGAGAAGTCGGACGAACAGCTCATCCAGGACCTGATCGCCATCCACAACGCCGAAAACTGGCTCGGCATGGACGGAGACGTCGAGCTCAGCATGTTCAAACCCAAGGAGGCCGGTGAGTGCCGCACCACCCTGGACAGGGAGGTTGGAACTGTGGTGTGGTCAGGGGCAGGGCCCGGAGATGTGCGATTTAAACGTGAAACGCAGATTTTTAAGTAATGTCACGACGCAGTGAGAGACTGGACCTCATGTTTTTCATTTTTAATTCCTATTTTTTTATGCCATGATAGTTATTTGGCAGCTCCATGTTAAGTGTAACACATGCATTTTGCAAGCTGACTAGTGCGGCCTGTCTGAAGATAGCGTGTGTGACAGTTCTTCTAGTCCCCATGAGGAGTCACCTCGACTTCTTTCCTGACTCATGACTGTAATGTCCCTGCTCTGTAGGTGTGATGGTTCCACCAGTACCCGCCAGGTGTCGGGACGGCTCTGTACTGACTGTTGTGTCCTGTGTCCCTGCTCTGTAGGCGAGATGGTTCCACCAGTACCCGCCAGGTGTCGGGACGGCTCTGTACTGCTACTGACTGTTATGTCCTGTGTCCCTGCTCTATAGGCGAGATGGTTCCACCAGTGCCCGCCAGGTGTCGGGACGGCTCGCCCGCCACGGCCAGTCCCGGCCCCTCCGAGACAGCCGGTCAGCCCGCCGCGCCGGCGTCAGCCGTCCCTCAGACCCAGCGCCAGACGGGTACGTCAAGTTCTCCCTTCCCACCTCCCTCCCTACTCCGCCGCGTGGTACGTGTCTATCGCCATCTCCCGCGATCGGGATCGGCGCCGCATGACTCTTATCGAACAGTTTAGGCAGCTCTCGTAAACTTTCCTTGTGATCTCGAGAATCTATTGACTCTTACGGCTTCATCAATAGTTTCCAGCACGACTATTGTTTTCAGCTGACTCAGACTCGGTCTTCAGCTGTTAATGAAGCCTATTATTTTGTCGCTGAATAAAGCACTTCGCACTATCACCAGCACTTGGCACTATCACCACCAGACTCCTGTCGCCAAATAAAGCACTAGCACTTGGCACTATCACCACCAGACTCCTCCAGCCGCAAGGCGGATGAGTCTGAAGGAGACCGTGGCTCTAATTAGAGTCAATCTAAATGCACCCCTCGCCATTTGTCGCTCTGTTACTATTAGGACAGCGCATGCTTACCCGGGACTGCCTACAGTGACTGGGGTGGTAAAACATCCGACACCTCTGTGGCGGGGAGCGACGCCTGTTTGTGGGGATACTGGCAGCTTCAGAGGCTTAGCCCGGCTATAAAACTGATCTTCAGGGATCGCCCGCGGCCAATGGGAGGGAGGCGGCAAGCGGGCTTAGTGCTAACTGCCGGAAAATGGGGCTAGGCAGCTTTTTTCTGAGCTGAGTCGTGACTGTACTGGCTGTGTCTTGTAATGGGACGTGGATTATGAACGGTTAGACGCGGAACGGTTGCGTCGTTTGTCGGGATGCAGCTGATGTCAACGTCTCGTCATTTGTCAATGATCGGGACCCCGCGTTTCGGTGCTTCTTTGTTCGGCAAACCTAGCTCGCCATTCAGTAGCACAGAAGCTGTATGACGGTTTCCTGCACAGTCGTCAAACACCTTACAGCACAAACTGATGTTGAATACCGGGCTGGAAATATGTGACTGTACATACGCTCTACCCCACAGGCGGTAGCGAAGCCGGCGCCCCCATTGCTGCTGCGGCGGAGCCCGGCGCCCGGGACGGCGAGACGCCTCCGGCGGCCGGCGCGGCCGGCGCGGGCGGGGGCGGGGGCGGGGGCGGCACGTTCCGCCCAGAACTGATGGTGGCCGACCCGCACTGCTACGAGTGCAAGGTCCGCTACCGCGACCCCAAGCCCAGCGATCTGGTCATGTACCTGCACGCGCTCAAGTATGCGGTGAGTATTTATCGACAGAACGGTGATGTTGTGATGTTGTGCCGGGCAACGCAGCTATCGATGCGACAGTGTAAGGGTATCATTTCTCAATTAATGCGTATGGCTGGAAACTGTTATGAACATTTAACTATCCGATGTTGGAAAAGTGGAAGCTCAATGTATGACTGGTTGTATTGTTTACTGATCATGAGCATCTTGTTATTGCTTTTTCAAAGAGCGTAGTGAAGTTTATCTTCGATTATTATTGTCCTAGATCACAATTTCACTATGTATCAGAGTACATCGGAGTGACAGCTGATGGTTCCCCTAATGTACCGTCTGGTGACCCGTTCTCCTCACTATTTCGACTGGCGCTCTTTTCTTTCTCAGTATCCCACCTGGAAATCCATTCTCCCCTTGCTTCCCTGTCCGCAGTCTATTTCTCCCTCACTGTCCCATTTGACAGTCTGGCCTCGATATCCCATCTCCCTCACTGTCCCATTTGACAGTCTGGCCTCGATATCCCATCTCCCTCACTGTCCCATTTGACAGTCTGGCCTCAATATCCCATCTCCCTCACTGTCCCACCTGACAGTCTGGCCTCGATATCCCATCTCCCTCACTGTCCCATCTGACAGTCTGGCCTCGATATCCCATCTCCCTCACTGTCCCACCTGACAGTCTGGCCTCGATATCCCATCTCCCTCACTGTCCCATCTGACAGTCTGGCCTCACTGTTCCGTTTGACGCTCTATTCTCCCTGGACAGGGTCCCGGCTGGCAGTCCGTTTACCTTGTCCCCCAGTATCTTTCTGACGATCTATTCTCCCTGGACAGGGTCCCGGCTGGCAGTATGAGACCAAGATGCCCGACTGGGCGGCCGAGGACTGGCGCGACCCAGACGGCAAGGCTTGAGGGGCGCCAACGTCCGGACGGCAAGGCCTGGGGGGCGCCCCGTTCCAGACAGCTGAGCCTGAGGGGTCCGCCCCGCCGCCGGCCTCCCTGTCGTCATATCACCGGGCGCTGTCGGTCCGGCAGTGACCGGGCCGCCCTCTGGAGTTCTTCCGAGCGCCGAGAGTTCGGCAGTGCGGCGGCTAAGGCCGGCGGCAAACAGTCTTTCCATCGGTCGGGCGCCGCCTGACCCAGACTGTAGTGTAGAGACGGGCGGGTCCGCGGGCCGCACGGCCGGCGCTGCGCCTACTTCCGTGCTGGAGGCCGCTGCTTGGCCTGCTGTGCAGACTCGAATCAAAAGACAAGTGTCTGGGCGGGCCCGGGCCGCGCGCCGCCTGTGTCGGTGACTGGCGGGTGACTCTGTGTCAGCGGCTGGCCAGCCGGCTGGTCAAACGGGGGTGTTTGTAGCTAGTGGTACTATGTGCGGCCCAGTGCCTCAATGTCTTCGCCTCGGCGCCGAACGATGGAGCCGATGTTATAAGTCATATCCCGCGGGCGGACATCATATGGCAGCCTGCCTGTGGACATATGGCAGCCCTGAATATAGTGCCGCGACCGGTGCAAAGTGTCACTCGCTAGTGTCACGAGTTTTCAGTGTAACTCGGCAAAACTGGCGCAGCCCAGACGCGCTACAAGGATGGACTGTCTTTGTAAACTTTCACACCTCTTCCCATGATGTGCTAGGAGATGATTTCGTTTCCGGATGTCTATGTCGCGACTAACGCGCTGCTGTGACGGCGGGCAGCCTCTTCCGTCGGCGCGCCGCGGTGCTGACCGGCGTGACTCGCGCGCTCTGTCCGCGGCCGTGACGTCACGCTGACGTCACGGCCGCCGTGCCTTGTGAGTTGGCGGCGCGGCCGTGCCTGCGGGCGCGGCCGTTCGCCAGTGCCTTGGTCTTACCTCAGTCTCCCGGCGCTGCGGCGCGCTCTGCGGGCGCCGCGGCCGCCGGGCGCGGAGCCGCGGGCGCCCCCTACCGGCCGAATGTCAGCGCGCGAGGGCTGGTCTGTCTGTTGGTATGTTTGCTTTGAGTTTGTTGACTGCGAATGTGTCTGGCTGAGCCGAGTATCGAGCTGTAAGAACTGAAACATGACCGGATGCTTTCCGTCCGCTTTTTAGACTCAAATTGTGTCCGGAAAACCACGCACATCCTTTCAACACGCTGCAGACACCGCCAAGCGTACAACTGAGTGTAAGGTGGCGTGTGAATGCTGTAAAATTGCGAGTTGGACGGATGTGTCCTGTGACGCCGAACAATCACCGATGGATTCGCTGCTCGCCCCGTGCTGCCATGAACTGACGCACGTGTGAGGACATGGTTGTCTCAGTGAGAGCGGGGATGCGTGTGTGCTGTCGACAGGCGATATCCGTCAGCGTGAGCGAGTGCCGGAGGGCGGTGGGTGTGTCGCTCTGCTACTCAGTCTCCCGATCAGCCGAGGCTGGCCGCAATATGTTGACGTTTGAACAATAAAATGACCTTCCGACGTGTGTAGTTTCTTTGTGGTGATGCTTCACCTCATGACAGACCAAGCAGGCACGAGAACATTTAGTAGACAGAGCTCTGGCCTCACGGTATGGATGCCACTGTAGGCTACGGTGAAATGGTATAAAAGCTTAAACACAATGGGACTGAACTCTTCCACCAGTTTTCTGTCGTAACTTTAAGTTAAGACATGTAATTGGAAATACCTACCTACTGAAATAAAATCGACATTTTTATTGAAGACGTCAGAGTCGAACAGTCAAACTGGAATGGCGTGTCCCAATGGCCAGTAATCCAGAGACACGTTGGGGAAGAGGCTCAGGTAAGGTAAGTGGATTTAGGATTACAACGCTCTTGGTTCTATATTGACATAGAATAATCTTGTGTCTGAGGCCATACTTGTGTCCAGTGTCCTTGTTTTGGCCGGAGCCAAGATTCTTACGCCGGAGCGCAGTGGAATTTCATTCCTTGATATGGAAACAATTATCTCCGATATGGAAGCTCACAAAGTTTCAGTAGTGGCGTGCTTTTTACAAGTAATGGCGCATTACCCATTTTGGCTTTGCTTATTTTTATTGAGCGATCGTGGCCGTGCATTAGCGTTGCAGAAGGTGGGTAACAGTGTTCCATGTTGGTTCCATGTGCTATTTCCAAGCTGCTGCGGTGATCGGAAAGCTCTTGATTGTGATCGGCGAGGCCGGGAAGAAGGAAGAGGACTTTTTAAGTCCAATTTGTTTTTGTTTATTCAATTCTTTTGGAGAAGCATCCATTTTTCTTTTTCTTCCATTTCGTTTTGATTAATTGTCGGGTGGAAGCTCGGCCACGTGGTGAGTCACAATCGCCTCAATGAGTGATTGGGATCCATTGCGGAAGTGTAGGCTGGTGTGTAAATGATGGGGACACCCAGAGCTACAAAGAGGTCCAGAGTAGATAACATGAGAGAGACCTTTTGGGGTGATGAGGACTCGGGGTTATACCTGAGTGTCACCCTGAAGTCAGGGAGTCCGATCAAGGGTAAAGGCTGGCCTTGGGTTCAGACTTGCATTAGGGGCATCTTAGGAGGACAAGACCGAGTATCAAAGGCGACATTTCAGAATGATGGGAGTCTGTTGCTGAAAACAAAAAATGAAAGGCAATCTGACAGACTGCTGAAAGCGACAATGTTCGGAAGTGAGGAGTGCAGTGTTCAGAAAGCAGAGAAACTTAACACAAGCAAAGGCACTATCTATGCCTTTGACCTGACTGAACTTACCGAACAGGAGGTAGTGGGATGGCTCCAGGAGTTTGGAGTGGTTGGAGCGAAACGGGTGACAAGGAGGGTGGGAACTCACAGGGAAAACACCCCTCTGCTCATCTTGACATTTGACAAGCCAACGTGCCCAACACAACTACATTTTGATTATGTGTCCTATGAGGTGCGAAGGTACATTCCTAACCCTCTGCTCTGCAATCAGTGTGGCAAATATGGTCATGTTCAGGCCAAGTGCAAAAGTGTTGCCTTATGTCTGAAGTGTGGGGGTGAGAAACATGAAGGGGACTGCTCCCCCAAATGCATTAACTGTACTTCTGATGACAGACATCCTTGTTACTCCCACGACTGCCCAGTCTGGAGAAAGGAAAAGGAGGTGTGTGAAATCAAAGTAACACAGGATATTTCATACGCTCATGCTCGGAGGGAGTATGAGAAAAAGCACCAAAGACCCACAACACCGGCATATTCCACTATACTTCAGACATCACCGACCACACAGCAACAGAACCACCTGGATACTTCTCTGAGGGAGCGGGTTGTTGTACTGGAAACAAAGGTGGATAAGATGCTGTCCCTTCTCAACAAACTGGTGAGTCAGGCAGGGGTTAACACCTCTGATGAGACACTCCAGATCCCAAACCGAGAACCTGAACTGAGAGACTGTGTCCCAACCCCTGCACAACTACCACGTGAGGTGGGAGACAGCATGGCTGAGGACAATCCTACTCCAGGTAGTGGAAATGGGAGTTGTCAAAATGCCCAGGTCGATGTAGAGACTGACACCTCTGATGACATGGAGGATGGGGAAAGCCAAGAGATTGGCAAAAAGGGAGTACACTGGACCAAAGTGGCCCGTCATAGTAGAGATAGGAATAGAGGTGGAGGAAAAGGCAAACATCCAACATCCCAAATGCATCCATCGTCTCAAGAAGAGACTAGAGGAAAACAGGAACCCCTCACTGAACAGAGGACGAAGAAACGAATGCCCAGTCTCACTAGGATGGGCACCCCACCCACCTAGTAGAAGGCCAGGCAGTAGAAAGGCTGTATATAGTGCAGAGCATCAACAAGTTTTTAGTGTTGAATTGTGTCTTGGTTGACAGTGCACATTGCACTGAATGTTACATACATCACACAGATAGTGTGCACAATGCATATATGTTCCCATTGTGGAAGCTTTGGTTTGAAGTGGTATGTATTTATTTGATGATAAGTTACACCTTTAGTTTTTTCAATGGGTCTTAGCATCCTACAATGGAATGCACGAGGGCTCATTGGCAAATGGGCCGAGGCAAAACCCATGTTCATGCATGGTAACTTCAGCCTCATATGTATTCAAGAGACTCATTTCATGATGAATGACAGGTATACTTTCCGATTACCTGGATTTTCTGCGTATCATGAATACTCACGTCAAGGAGGACGGGGTGGAGGAGTGTCTATATATGTGTCTAACAACTTGTCACACTTCCAGGTACAGGTACACACTACATTACAGGCAGTGGTATGTTCGATAAGGGTCCAAAACAGACGAATTGCGATCTGTTCATTGTATCTTCCACCGAATGAGACCTTCTCTTTTACTGAGATGGACCAGTTGATCAAAGAGCTTCCTAAGCCCTTTGTCATTTGCACGGATGCCAACAGCAAACATATGATGTGGGGTAGCCAAATAAATGACACTCGAGGCAATATCTGGATGGATGTGATTAACTTGAATACCTTGTGCGTGTTGAACGATGGTCAACCAACTAGAATTGACGATTTTACAGGCCACGAGTCATTTATTGACTTAACTGTCACAACAAGCGACATTGCTCCCCTGATGGAATGGGATACTGACAAGGACCTCCATTCAAGTGACCATTTCCCCATACACATTAGAATGGGTTCTGATACAGGAACACCACCACCAAATGTTCCACCTTTATTTTCAGGTTGGAATATTAAGCGAGCTGATTGGACTGAGTTTCAGAGGCACTTTTCTTTTAAGTTTGATAGCAGAAATGGTGTTGAGAATTGTGACAACATGGTGGCAGCGATGCTGGAAACGGCCACCCAATTTATTCCCACCCGAAACTGTAACACTAGATACAAATGTCCATGGTGGAATGACCAATGCCGAAATGCCATTAGGGAGAGAAGGCGTGCTCAGAATCGAATGAGGAGAGACCCACACTCTGAGTTTCTGCGAATTGAATATCGTCGAGCCAAAGCAAAGGCTCATCGCACAATCCGTGAGGCAAAGGTAACTTCATGGAGGGAGCTCATATCGATGTTTAACCACCGAACACCAATGAATAAGCTATGGGAGACGCTTCGGAAATTTAACTACAAAGGTCGCATATCCCGACAATACCCGGTACTGTTTGAAAATGATGCAACAATCGATGATCCTCTTGAGGTGGCTAACACGTTTGGACGTTTCTTTGCTGGTCTGAGTGGACGTTCTATGTACTCTGATGTATTTTTACAACGAGAACGGACACTTGTTGATTCCATGCCGGACTTTGGGAGTGAGAACACAGAAGACTATAATAAAGAGTTTTCGTTCCGTGAACTGACTAATGCAATATCTAGATCAGGTTCTACTTCAGTTGGGCCGGATAAAGTGCACTATGAATTTTTCAAGCACATGGATGAAGGGCAATTGCGTGAACTGTTGGCACTTTTCAACTTTTTGTGGCTAAATAATGTTTTCCCACAAACATGGAAACATTCGTATGTTGTTCCTATATTGAAGCCGGGCAAGGACTGTAACAAAGTCAAATCATATCGACCTATTCAGTTAACTTCTGTTTTGTGCAAACTGATGGAAAGAATGATCGGGAAGAGACTGAGCTGGTATCTAGAGAGGTTTTGCCTGCTATCTAGGTTCCAGTGTGCCTTTCGGGAGAACAGGAGCACAATGGACCACTTGCTACGACTGGAGTCCCAGATTCGAGATGGATTCCTCCATCATAGCACTACAATTGGAATTTTTCTCGATTTAAAATCGGCATACAACATGGTGTCTCCTACTATGCTCATGCATCGTCTTTTTGATATGGGTTTTCGAGGACACTTGATGTACTTTGTCCAATCGTACCTAAGTCGACGAACGTTTCAGGTTCGATGTGGTGTGCTATCGGACACATTCTCTCAAGAATACGGACTTGTGCAGGGTGGGGTGTTATCGCCAATGCTTTTTAACATTGCTATTAACTCGATGTTTAATGATATCCCTCGCGGTGTCTCCTATGCCATCTATGCTGATGATTGCACGATTTGGACACAGGGTAGACGCCTACCTGAACTGTTTCACACATGTCAACAGGCTCTGCACAAAGTTGGTGAATGGGCGCTTAACAATGGATTTTCATTCTCAGCAGAAAAATCCACAGCGGTCATGTTCAGACGTGGATTAAGACATGTTGACCTGGGGTCTTACCCCACCCTTGTGATCAACAATGCAACCATTCCTTTTGCTGAACAGGTTAGATACCTGGGAGTTTTGCTAGACAGCAAACTAAACCTTAGAGCGCATGTAGAGTATACGAAAGCGAGGGCACAGAAACGAATCGCTCTTCTCAAATGTGTATCAGGCAAATCCTTTGGCGCTGATCGAGTGATTCTCCTTCGAATGTATAAAGCTCTAATTCGTCCTATTCTCGATTATGCTGCAGTGCTACTAGATGGGCCGGGCAGTCGCATTATTGATTCACTTGAGTGCGTACAGAACACAGCACTACGTATTGCGACTGGAGCACTGCGAACCAGCCCTGTACGATCAGTGCAGGTTGAAACCAACGTGGTTCCTCTTAGCCTCAGGAGGCAAGACCTATCCCTAAGATATTATCTCAAGGTACAGGGAGACATTCGACATCCATGTCGCAAAGTGGTTGATATGGAGAGCAACCAACACGTGTATGAAGGATTATCGGAACATTATATGAGAAGGATCTCTGGATTTCCTTTTTCACATAGGTTGTCCACCATGTGCAGGGAACTTGGTCTCCGATTACCACGAAACACGGTGAACCCACGTGGACTAATACCCCCCTGGCTCTTACCTGACGTTACCACGATGATGTTACTCAATGGCACGAGACACATGACAGAAACGGACATACATTTAGCGTTCCAAGATGTGCTTGCACAATATCCAGGTTTCCGGAGATTCTACACTGACGGTTCTAAGATTGATGGATCGACTGGTTGCGCTTTTACAGTGAATAATGCTTTCTTTTCCCACAAACTGGAGCCATGGATGTCTGTGTTTACTGCGGAGTTGGTGGCCATACGCGAAGCGCTTCGTTACATTTCGGATCATCGGGTTGACAAAGCAATGATCTGCTCGGACTCGCAATCCGCGATACGTGCTATAGCGTCTCACAATCGAGAACATTGCATTGTCATAGAGATTTCTGAGATTCTTTACCAGCTCTCACGTGATCGACGCCAATGTATCTTTCTGTGGATACCAGGACACAGTGGTGTAGCAGGCAATGTAAGAGCCGATCATTGGGCCAGAATGTCTCACCAGAAACCGAATGTCACACATGTTAATGCAGGGTACAGAGAGTTTCTGCCCAT